TATTCAATGCGCGGTATATCATTTTGTTATGCGTAATAATATCCCACGAAGTGCAGTCCGAACAGTTAGTAAACATGTGGTTTTCCCGTACGTTAAGTACAGGTACTAATATGTATGCAACCATATGGGTTATCACTTTATGTTCTTTTGTTAGATTCACTCCTCAGCTTTTGCTGAGCGTGTAGTTGTTTTTGCTACACGCAGGTAGACATGACGGTGCAGGTGCTAACCCTGGAGGGCAGTGATGGTGGGAGGAGGGATGGCACGGACAAGTTAATATTATATTTACATTTAATCAATTAGTCATTTGGGCATGAACCCACCCTTGTCGTTTTATTTATTCTAGACTGGACTTATTTAATTACTTTCGCTTTTACTCTACATAAATATCACGCACGTTTTGGGTGACACACCCTAGTATTTATACCACTAATTAAACCTAACCATTTTCATAATAGATGGGCATTAATGTTTTCCGCTACGGACGGTTCTCAGACCGCCCATGTAAACCTACCGGTCCGTTGGGTCGCGGGTGAACCGGGTCCACGGAAGGCGGGTGTTACAATTTGCCCGCCAAGACTCATGAGTATCTTATGTTGGAACTACCGTGGGTTGGGTAACCGACGGGCAACTCAAGAACTAGCATAACTTGCTTCTACTAAAAAGCCCAAATTTATATTTTTCATGGAAATTAGGGGTGCGAGAGGGAAGGCGGAGCTTCTTTGAGTTAAGCTTGGTTTTAGGGGTTTATTTGTGGTTGATGTAGTGGGTCGGAGTGGGGTGTGGCTTTGTTATGGAAGGAGGATAATACAGCCACACTCATTAGCTATTCTAGATTCCATATTGATGTGGAGACTAGGTCGGGAGGGTCTCAGCCATATAAGATGACAGGTTTCTATGGGATCTCGAGAAGGGATCAGTGACAAGTCTCATGGGACCTCCTTCGCTCCCTTAAATCTTGGTCTAGTTTGCCTTGCATTGGGTAGTGATTGGTGACTTCAACGACTTGTGTGCCTCAACTGAGAAGAGAGAGGGACATCCCTAACCTTTGCATTTGATTGTTGGTTTTAATGCGGCCCTCTTTGATTGTGGTTTATTTGACTTTGGTATGCGGGGTTACCCTTTTACCTAGGAATAAGGCGAAGGTTCAACTCAATGGATTGAGGAGAGGCTTGATAGAGTGGTGGCTAGTGGTTCTTGGATGGATCTCTATGGCCAGGCTTGGGTGAGCAATCATCCCATTAAAGGGTTGGATCATTCTACTCTCAGACTATCTATGTCTGGGCTTGAGCAGCAAAAGAGAAGGGCTCGATGTTTCATGTTTATAAGGAGGCGCTGAGTAAGGCTTGGGGCTCACCAAGGGACATGCCATTTTTAGATAAATTGGCTCGTTGTGGGCGGCATCTCACTGTGATCGTCATATACAAATGCTTAAAAGAAGAGTTGAAGAGTTACGTAGTAAACGAGATGAGGTTACTCTTCAAGAATTTAGGGAGAAGGATGAAGAGCTTGGCAGACTTCTTGACTAAGAAGATACCTACTGGAGGCAACGAGCAAAGCAACATTGACTTCGATTAATTGGGAGATGCTAATACTTGATACTTTCATCAATATGCATCTTACTCTAAAAAAAGAATCATATTTACAAACTCAAGGATGAGGCAAGTACTTGGTGTGAAGTGACAGAGCTGAGGCAGGTTGTTTTCTAATACTATGAGAGGCTTTTTCATTCTTGGGATATAGTAGATTCTAACTTTTATCGTTCAATTCTGCCCTGGGTCACGACTGACCAGAATAATCAACTACTTCATCCCTTTGATGCTGAGGAAGTAAAATAAGCTCTCTTCTCTATGCACCTAGATAAATCCCCGATCCCGATGGGATGAATCTTGGATTTTGTCAGAAGTCATGGGAGGTTGTGGGTGCAGAGGTCACCGTGTAACGCCCCAAAACATGGTCTAAAAGTTATTTTTTATAAAAGTATTTTAAAAACAATATTTTGACCCAACAAAGAATTATTTTTATGTTTGACCAAAAATAAAGGAATTTTTAGAGTCAATAATTTTTGTTAAGATTGGCTTTTATGGATAGGTCTCGAAGAGACGAATCCAACAGTATATTTTATGAATAGATTTGATGTACAGATTTTCAGTTATGATATTTTAAATATGCAATTTTCATAAAAATGTGAAGTGGTCAAAGATGTGAACTTTTGTAAAATGATTTATTGAAATAAATATTTAAATTTAATAATATTGATTGAATATGAGAGTAATTTTACTTGTATATCAATTATTTCAATTTTGACTCTGTCAAAGTCAAACACCCAAAAATATGCTGTCAGAAAAAGTGTTTCAAATAAATATAAAAATTATATCGTTAAACAGAGTTTGACTGTCCGATCGCAACGATGCAAAAAGAATTCAATTCGAAGAAAGTTAGACCAAAAAGTGTACCCCGACTGAACCAAATTAGTCCCAATCAGGGAAGTAACGTGGTGAATCGCCTAAAATCGCACCTCCGCCGAATGAAGACCGCGAATTGGAAGTCTACGCAGCAACAACTCAGTTTCCATGTCTTCTTCCTCTCATCTCTACTATATAAACTCCCTAAACTTCACCATTTCTTCATCATTCTTGTTCAAATAAGTTCTGAGAGATAGTCTTGAGTGTAGAGAACATTGTGGTGTTGTCAATTTGGTGAGAAGGCGCCGGAGTTGAGAGTAATCGTCGCCGGAAGTTTCGCCGGAAAATTTCCAAAACCTTCACTAAGCTTTGAGGTAAGCTCGTAGATATATCTAATGACTAGAATGTTCATCTAGGTCGTTTCTACGTTCATAAATGGTCATTTGGTTGAGTTTTGTGTTTGACATGTTTGAAGAACCAAGAATCACAAACCTTGAAATTTATACATTAATTGAAGTTTGGTGACTTAAAATGATGTTTTGAAAATTGGACCCAAGGTTGAAGACGAAGTACTGTTGCTGTAAGGCAGCAACGGTCGACCGTACCGTCACCACGGTCGACCGTTACCGAACCAGTGGCTTCAATACAATGGAGGCAACGACAGTCGACCATCACTTGAAACGGTCGACCGTTCCGAAGACAGTCAACTACGAAAAATGCTATTTTTGAGTTCTAAAATCCTATTTTTGATACCAATTGATTATGATCATTATAAAAATGATTTTTCACAATAAAAATGATGCTTTTAATAAATTAAAATCTTATGTGATGCATGACGGTAAGTTTGGGTGTTAACACTCGAGACTAGCCCACTAATTGTTATTAAATGTTATGTTGAATGATCAATATGATGAACTATTATTGTGGCCAATTATGAATGATTAACCTACTAATTAGTATGATTATTGATTAAATCATGATTAAAAATGGATATAATGATGATTATGAAAATGATGTATATTGTTAAGGACATCTAGAAGAACTCTAAAATATACACACTTGTATAATGATGATGATTATGAAGGATATCTAGAAGAACTCTAAGATATACCTCCTTGACCAATTCATATTTCGGGATTAAAACGTACGTACGGGATCCAGAACGGATATCACCCACCCGACAGTTCACTGTTCGGTTGGTACGTAATCCACATGGCTCATAGGGTGGATTATCGATTCTTGTGTTCTGCATTAAACTATTTATAGTTTAAGGGCCTGGTTAGAAATGTTGCCTTAGACTAGGAATAGCTAAGAGTTGTTATAAAATGATTAAGCCTTAGATTAAGAATAATTTAAGAGCATTGTTGAGATATTGAATATCAAATGACTTGGAATAAAATATTGAGAATATTATGAATGTTTGAATTATATATTGTGTGCATGATATCAAATGGTTGATTATGAATCGAGGTTCAATTTATATGGATGTTCGACGCATTAGATATGCTTACTCAGCTTCACCGCTGAGCGCGTAGTATGTTTTATTTGCAACACGCAGGTTAATAGAAAGAATGATGTGACGTGATTCTGGAGGCAGACGGAGGCGAGATTGTTGGAATGGATGTGATGGTTTTGAACATAAAAAAATTATGTTTGTAATTATGATTTGTTAAGCTTCCGCAATATTAAAAACTCCGCACTGTATATGTTACGAAAAATATTATCGTGATAAATAAAAGTGTTTGAAAAGTTTTAAATTTTACGATTACCAAGTTAATACTTTAGTCCGAAAGGGGCTGCAGACCTGGACGGATTAGGGTGTTACACACCGAGTTCGTCTTAGATTGTTTGTAGCAGGAAGCTTTTCCTAGATTCATGAATGATACTACTCCGGTGCTAATACCAAAGAAGAAGTCCCCTGAGATTGTGGCGGATTTAAGACCAATTGCCTTATGTAATATTGTCTACAAGATCGTGGTGAAGATTCTAGCCAATTGTATGAAGCCTCTCTTGCAGAGCATCATTTTGGATAATCTGTCAAAGTTCCTTCGTGGAAAACGTATCTCTGATAATATTCTTCTAGCAGCTTAATTGGGACGCTATCTTAGGAGGAAACAAGTAGGGCAAGTGGGATGGGTAGGTCTTAAGCTAGATATGGCTAGAGCATATGATCGAATGGAATGGTTCTTTCTTAGAAAATTGATGGAGTGTTTAGGCTTTACAGATAGTTGGATCCAACTAATTATGCTCTGTGTTACTACCGAATGTTATCGGGTCTTTATTAATGGTGATCTCAAGGATCTGATTGTTCCCACTCAAGGGCTTCGCCAAGGTGAGCCACTTAGTCCCTATCTGTTTATACTTTGTGTGGAAGGTCTTTACCTACAATTTCAAGAGGCGGAGCGTAATTGACGTATCCATGGGATTCGAGTGGCTGGAGGCTTCCACTTCTCATTTCTTCTTTGCAGATGATAACCTTATTTTCAAGAAAGCTATTATCAAAGAGGCCGATGAAGTTAAGCATTGCTTATCAGAATATGAAAGAATTTCGGGTCAGTCTGTTAATTTTGAAAAGTATATTGTATATTATAGTCTTATTATCCCTCGAGCGACTAGGAATTGCCTTTCCAATTTCTTTAGGGTTACAAAGATTGATAATTTTGGGAAATATTTGGGCCTCCCGTCTGTCTTGGGCAAAGACAAAAAGGCTGTTTTTTCTTATATTTTGGATAAGATTTGAGCTCTTTTTGTAGGTTAGAATAAGAAGTTGTTGTCCAATGCTGGGAAAGAGGTTCTTTTGAGGACACTGGTGCGGGTTTTGCCACAGTATGCCATGAGTGTCTTTTTTCTACCACAGTGTCTTTGTACGTAGATTGAGAGATTGATGAATTCGTTCTGGTGGTCTGCTAAGGGGTCTAATGCCTCTAGTATCAAATGGATGTCTTGGAAGAGATTGTCGATTCCTAAGAAGTTCGGGGGTATGGGTTTTAAGGAGATCCGTAATTTTAATGTGGCTATGTTAGGAAAGAAAGGATGGAGATTTCTTACTAAACATGTAGCACTTGTCTCCCGGGTTTTCAAAGCTAGATACTTTCCAAAATCTTCATTTCTCGAGGCCTCATTGAGAGGTACTCCAAGCTATTGTTGGCGTAGTATTTTCAAGGCGCAACCTCTGATTAAGCAAGGAATAAGGCGTCGGGTAGGGAATGGTAGGGACACGTTGGTGTGGGGATCCCCTTGGCTAATAGACTAAGACAATCCTTTTATTTCCTCTGAACCGCCACCCTATTTGCCTAACCTCCCATTGTATTTTCTTTTGGATCCTGACTCAGGGGAGTAGAATGAGGTTGTGTTAATCTCTTTTTTAATAGACGAGATATTTGTGAGATTCTACGTATTCCTACTTCCACCTCTCGTGATGACATTTGGTTTTGGCAAGGTACTTCTCACGGTGATTATTCAGTCAAGGAGGGATACCGCCTACTTCATGGAGAAGATGCTTTCGAGTCGGGCTTCCTTGCGGGAAATAACTTATGGCGTATCTTGGTGGCACCAAAGGTGAGAATGGTTATATGGGGAGCCCAGAAAGGAATCTTACCAACTAGTACTGCACTTAATTTAAAGGGTATGGATTTAGAATATCTTTGCCCAATTCGTGGTTCAGAAGAAGAGACCATTGATCATACCTTTGTGTGTTGTCTATACACCTTGACTATCTGGGAAGGTATTGGGGTGCTTTTTTTGTCAATGAGGGCAGTTCTTTTCAGCAATTTATCCAGCGAGTAGTCGACTCTTTGAATATGAGAGAACTGCAATATGTTGCTTATGGGGTTTGGGCATTATGGAAGGTTCGCAATACAGCATTCTTGGAGCATAAAGTCTCAGCACCAGCAGCCACCCTTCACCTAATTCAATTAATGGTGGCAGGTTGGGTGGAGAGCCACCAAGGGCAAAGCACAGAGCATGTACAGTCGACTGGTGTGATGTAGGGAGTTTCTGGTCCAATAAGGTGCTGCTTTGTTGATGCAAATTTGTTTCCCCAATCCGAGGAGGTAGGGTATGGCGTCGTCCTATTTGATTCTTAGGGTAGGTTTTTTATTGCCATTAATGGTATCTTGCATTGTACTCTAAATTTTTAAATGGCAAAAGCATATGTTTTTCGTGAAGCCATGAATTGGTTAAAGCGTGAAGGCTATATTGACGTGGGTCTCTTTTCAAACAGCTCAGTGGTGGGGGATGCTATTAATAATACAATTTCATCTCGCTCTTATTTTTGCTCGGTTATAGAAGATTGAATTTCTTTACTTTCTTTTTTTTGTTTTATTTCAATTTCTAAAGTTAGTCGTGATTTGAATCCCACCAAACTTTGTACTCCCTCTTTTAATTAATTAAATTTCTTTTTCCTTAAACAAATAATGAATGATACTCTCTCCGTCCCAGAGTATTTGTCCACTTTAATTTTTACACATCATTCAATACATTTCTTTAATCCATTTTATCTTGTAATTTGTATATTAAAAAATTATAGAAATTATATATTAATAATCTATATGTTAAGACAAATCAAACAAGATCACACATGACTATATTTAGGCTTACACATTGAGAGAATTTGATGAGTCAAAGTGCTTAAATGAACAATTCCAAAAGTCAAAAGTGAACGAATATAGCAGGACAGAGGGAGTACATCCTTATATATAGAGATAAGAAGAGAGAATTCTAATTCTAATAGAATAGAAATTATGAAAACAATATAATAAGAAAATAATAGTAAAATAGAGAAACTAAATAATAAAAAAATTCTGTTTCTAATATTCGTAATATAACCAATTCAAAATGATGATGTTTTGATCTCTCGCTCACTCGGTATAAATCAACTTGAGAGTTAATAACTGGCAAATTCCACTTCATAGATTCGTAAACGATAGCTGGACTAGATCAATCGCGCCAGATCTTCAACAGCCGAACAATAGAAAGTGATATAACTATATAAGAACATCCAATTCAAGGAACGTAAACATAACTCAGACTTGTAATGTGAATAAATCATAGGTAAGATTACCAAATTCTTGAATTGCATGGGTGATATGAGATTACAAGAATGACAAGTTTACCTTACATGGTTGGCTAAGACAACAAAGTGTTGCATCAATCTCTTTCAAATCGAATCCAACAATATACTACTTAAATGACACATTAAACACTACCAATTTATTTTTACGATACCTAAAAAATCCAAAGTGATCATTCTCCCTATGATTACATTCTTTTTCTACATTAGAGTAGCAAATTGAGATTAAGCTAATAATCCAAATACCCAAACCAAACACCGTAATCTAACACGAAGTAAGCCTTCTTCTACACTAGCAAACGCACATGTTTGTTGAGGGTGAGAACCTAAGGGGTTAACCCATCTTGGCCTCTAACAGTTTATGATTGGAGAACAGTCCAAAAGCTTTTCAGTCAACCTCAGTTTTTTCACTAAAACTCAGCTTTATATGAATGTTCATACTTTGAAACCACTTACGAAAGTTTAAAATGACTTCCGTGGCAACACAATGCTGAAACAAATTTCAATCAACCCTTGTAGTGTTTCGAAAAAACAAGTCGCAGACTGCTACAATTAAAGCTAATAATTACAAGGTGAAGAGGCATCAAACAAACTATACAGCTGCAGAGCAATTAAACAAACCGTTTTATGCATTTATTTGTTTCATAGAACGGTATTGATGTGAAGAGCTTTAAGAAGTGAAGTAGCCATTTGCTTCACTAAAACCTGGCCACCTGAACTTTGTCCGTCTCTGCGCTCTTCGATGAGATTCTGAAGCTTTTGAGGAAGATCATTCTCCACTATTAGTTGCTTAGGACGTGGGTGGTGCTCGTATACAGCCTGCCGTGATATTAATAGAGATATGAGTCAGCATTCTGATAGACAGTCCTAAGTTCTTTAAGAGAGTGCATAATTTTGGCACAATCTTAATAACTACATACATGTGTCATATTCCTACTGGTTTTGAGTCATGCCGTTTAACAGTAAGAAACACTGTTAGAAATCTGTATATGGGTATTGCGTAACACTGAAGTTGAAGTCCTTAAATGAGCATCTCTCAAGTGCCCCCTCGCAGCACTTTGTTCACTCTCATAGAACTCTGAGGAAGTACGACCTATCGAGGAGGGTATCTTCTGTAAGCTCGAAAGCATCAAAGCGGAGAGGATAGAGACCGATATTACCAAGTATTCCCAAGGGTTTACATACCATACTCCGGTATTAGCAAGGTCCTTCTTTGAGTAATTGAGTACGACGTCAAAGTTCGGGATGGTTCCCATGACAGTGCCCGGCAATGTCATGGGATGACCCGGGGCACTCCGGTGCCCCATTCGTAAAGTTGACGGTTCCTACCCCCTGGTAACCCCCCCACCCCGCCCCGACCCGAACTCACCCCCACCCCTTCAATTGCACCCCACAAGTTAATTTTGACTTTGGAGTCAAAATTTGACTCCAAAGTCAAAATTAACTAGTGGGGTGCAATTGAAGGGAGTGGGGGTGTGTGTTCGGGTCGGGGCGGGGGGTTTACCAGGGGGGTAAGAATTGTCAATTTTACGAACGGGACACTAGAGCGCCCTGGGTCATCCCATGACATGGGGTTCCAATGTCATGGGAACCCCACCGGTCAAAGTTAAGGATCTTGAATGTTATTTCAGCTGTAAAATAAGAAAAAACCTTACCGCCCTCGTCCTAAATGACAAAACCCATAAGAAAAAACCTTCACTCCCCCCATCCTAAAAAAATTGTCCCATTGCAGAGAGCAAAGGTTGACTGAAATTATTTTCAATTTGGTGTAAACTTTAAAAATAAAATTTGTATATTTAAAAACCACATCAAAAGCTCAATAAAACAAGAGGTGACATGACTGCAATCTTAACATTAATAATATATGATTAACAAAAATAGGTAAAGAAATAGAAAATACTCCCTCCGTCCAAGTTGAAACTTCCTATTTTGACTTGGCACGGATTTTAATGTAAAGTGAAAAATACTCTGACTTTCCAATCTTGCCCTCTATTTCCTCCACCCAGCCCCTGCCGACCTGCCCTCCTATTACCCAAACAATTCTTCTTCTTCTTCTTCTTCAACTTTAACCTCGACCTCCCCCCCACCTACCACCTTCACCACCCCGCCTTTCATTAACAAATCTCACTACTTTGTTCTTCATCTTCAACATCAAATGCTACCCATGCTCTCCGTCCTCAAACCCAAACATCTTGTTCTTCTTCAACCTCAAATCCACCTACCCCCGGCCTTCCTTCCTACTCTCAATGTAAAAAAAAAAATCAAAAATAAATCTCATCAAACTTAGGAATGTCAAATTTAAGATTACGCCTCAAAGAAATTGAAAAGGAAACTGGTGAAAAGATGAAGATAGAGAAAAAGGGGCAAAAAAAAAAAAAAAATCTAATCTAGAAATTCCACTGCAAATCTAAAAGCTCCACTGCATATCTGAAATCCCCGCCGTGCCGCTAAGATTTGAAGGCTTTTCAGATCGGATAGGTTCATCCTTCCCTTCACCACTGCCCTTCGCACCACCTTGGGGGGTTATCAGAAGAAGAAAAGAAAGAAGGAGATGGCGGGGTGGAGTCTGACAGTAGAACAAAAAGGAAGAAGAAGAAGAAGAAAAAGAAAGAAGAAAGAGGAAAGAAGAAGAATAAGAGAGAGAAGGAGAGATGGGGGGAGTACAGTAGTAATGAGATGAGAATTGGGGGTGAGAAAAAAAATAAGGGTAAAAGAGTAACTTTAAATGTATTTTCTTTCCATTTTAGGAAACAAGAAGAATCAAATGGGACGGCCCGAAAAGGAAAGTGAGAAGAAAGATATGGGACGGAGGGAGTAAGAAATAATTTGACCTGTACAATTTTTATGGGACAGAGGGAGTGTGAATATATGTATTACATATACCCTGAGATTGTGATGTTAAACCTCTACTATCAGAACAAAATGTGTTTTTCAACCTCACAAGATGAAACTTCAATGAACCCCAATATCCATTGAATATTATTATCATTACTATTACCATCCCATCTATAAATTAAACATTAAAAAAAAAGAAATTCTTACCTTTATTAATTTTAGAAGATTGAGACGAGCTATAGCATCCTGATGATCAAGTCTAGAAATTAACAATGGGGTCAAACCATTGACAGCCAGTGTGGTATTTATTCGTGATGATTTGCTGCATTTAAAATTAACTCAAATATTAGGCAATGTCTTCACCAATAGCACGAAAGCTGATCCACTGAAAGATGAAAATGTGCATGTAGGTAAAACTGGGAAATGACATACGTGATAATCTTTAAAAAAGGCTCCAATATATGCAGAAAATACTGTTCTGGACAGCACTGAAAGAACTTAACCAGTTTCTGTATAGCATCCTTTTTAAGTAATGCTTGTTCCAGTTTCCTGCTGTCATTGTCGTGTGCTAAACAAACAGCAATGGAATCTAATGCAGTAACAGACCAGAGCTCATCTTCCAGAAGGCTCAGGTACACGTCCAATCCACCATGTGCTCTTAGCTGTTCTCTAGAATTGCGTGATGCATGAGCCATATCACATAAAAGAGGCAATGCATATTGTTTCAATGGAGATCCAGACATTATAATATGCATCAAATGTGGGATAATTCCATTTTCTGCTGCCTGTTCTTGTCTCCTCTTATTGATCTTGCAGAGGTTGAATAATGCATTGAGAACCTTCATAAAAACCAATTTTGTAATAATTCATCCACATGCATTGGTATATTTTCACATTTTGTTAATGAATACAAAATAAATAGCAGACCACTGAAGTAAGAACATTTCAGAAATTACTACCTACAGCTTCAGTGCGTATAAAGAGCAAACCTCCTTACACGACCTTACCGGTAAACTGCTTGGTGATCTGGACCAATTAGATACTAGTTGACACCCACCAGGTCAAAACAAATATGAGTATCCGTAAAGATCCTCGTTGTTAAGCATTTAATTTTATTTTTAAAAAAGAAGCCGATCTGCATGAGTTACCGGTGTGAGAGCCACTAAAGGAAAATGGCTCATAAATTCCTTCCAAACTATACGGAATTACAAACTGTCAGATTACTAAATCAACATTGAGATAAAGGTAAGGAATAACCATGTAACTGTAACAGTTTAACTCTAAATGAACTGTTTCTAGTACCTCTATTCATGACCCTTGTCGTCAAAGGGTAAGCATTTGACCTCTAAAGTCTAAACTAAACATATTCTTTCCAAGTGAAGCTTATCAGGTTCTTGTCTAGGAATAATGTATGCATGAAAAAATACAACAGCGCTCAAACGAATATTAAAGATTATTAGGCTCACCTCATGATGGATTTGGGAAACAAGGGGTCCCTCTTTGAGGTCAAGATTGGGAATCAGATATTTGATTGCATCTGCTCTCTGAAGATGTTCTAAGCAGTGTGGGTCTGTTGAAAGGTGATTGATACACTTCAACAACTATATAGGGCATGCGCATGAACACAACCTATCAGACAAAATACAGTTATAAAAGAAAATTGAACTTCTGATCTCATAGTTTTCCATACCTTCAAAAGAATAGGAGGCTCTATTTTATTGAACATCTGAAAAAGACGGCTAAGCAAACTTTGACTACACATGTAGGATTTTACTGTTGCATCTGCAGCAGCAAATTCAAGTAAAAGCTCTGCTACC